AATTCAATGAAAGAAGTGGGGTTCAAATAAATGACTATTTCAATTTGTAAAAAAAAAATATAAATAAATGGAGGTGTTCAAATAAAAGGGGTTGTTCAAATTAAAAAAAAACAATAAATGCTAGAGGCAAATAAAAAGGTGTACTCCTTAAGGAAGAAAAATAAGTGAATTGTTTGCCTTCATAGTAATTGCATAAACTGTGTGTGGAGTCATATAAGGTGAGGGTGTCTAAAAAAGTTTAATAAGCATACCTTCCATGCTTTTTCGAGCAGCAAGAGTAGGCTTAATGCATATCAAGAGAGACATGAGCTAGAGAAAGCCTGACAGAAAAAAAAAAAGAAACGCTCAGAGCAGAAAGGAGGAAAGAATGAAAAAAAATCTGCTACAATAATATAGTGATAATGAACCAGGCAGAATAAAAGGAAGTTAATATATATATATATATATATATATATATATATATATATATATATATATATATATATATATATATATATATTATATATATATTTATATATATTTATATATTTATATATATATATTTATATGTATATATTTATATATATATATTTATATATATATATATATATATATATATATATATATATATATATATATATATATATATATATTTATATATATATATATATATATATTGTGTGTATTTAGGCAGCATATTTTCATTTATACACGTTTCATTAAATAATATATTATACTAAATACTTGAAGCATTATACATCAAACAGTTAAAACCCAACCTAAACAAAATCAACTATGGAATCTCTACAAATATTCTTAAATGTCTATAATTTCTATAATTGGTAACAGAAGCCATTGGTTTATACCAACGGCTTTCCTTATTTCATTCTACAATTCACTCTCGTGTAGTCATGTGTGACGTCATGAGATGCGGTGCGATTTTCGCTTCTAGCGTCTTATATGCGCGTGTTCATCGTTGCTTAGTGATCCACTATGTAAACTAAACAATGACAGACTATCATCACTGTCGTGTCCGTATATTGTTTGATATGTTTGTAATTACATCTTTGATAATGGCTTGAGTAAGCCGAAAGCTTAGATTTTATTAAAAAATAATGGATAAATATTGTGAATTTCTTTTTCGGTTAATGATAATGTTATCAAACTTATCAGAAGATACGAAAAATTTTACATAAAATAAATAGACAACACTTGTCTATATTATTTAATGAAACGTGTATATATATATATATATATATATATATATATATATATATATATATATATATTAACGTCCTTTCATTCTTTCTGGTTTATATATAATATAATAATATATACAATAAAAAAGTTAATGGTCAGAGTAGAATTAGACAAGGAAACAGTAATATTAAAAAGTCCTCAATGCACATATAAAATATAAACATTTAACATGAAGTGATTATAAGTACAGAAAATTAAGAAATCAGTCGATTCCTCTACCTTGGTTTCAACCTTTTGTCATCTTAAAAAGATTTCGATCAATTGATTTCCTAACGCTTTATTTTTTTAAAATAAAAAATAAATTTTGAAGACGATACTTAAATAAATAAATTAATTAATAATCGGACGCTGTGAGGTGTGGTTGCATATGTTGCTGTGGTTGTTGTAAGGTGTTCCAACCATTGTCAACAAGAAAACATATCTATAATAAAATTTGCAGACAAAAAAAAAAAAAACCCAAAAATCTTTTAAAATACAGATCAGAAATTATGTCCCGTTGTATACATACTAAACAGTTCCTTTTGCGTTCATTTGAAGTGGGATAAAAATAATATATGTATATTTCATTTAATCCCCAACCGATACATTTCCAATAAACTTGATTTCCCCCACCTCCCCCTCACCTTCTACTACACATATCGTGTGCTTAATCATTTTTTTTTAAATATAGTATTAATAATTTTTTTTCATTTTAAGAATTTTGAAATAACGATTGAATAAGAAAACACTAATATATAGTTAAGCTAACAAACATAACATTACGGAAACATCTTTCCCCGTGTGCTAAAATAATAGCTTATTTCTCAACAACGGTATGTAGTGGTCGGTATTCAATAAGCCATACTTTAAATGATGCTTTTCAAGGCAGGTCTGGCAAGAAAGCTCCCCAGCCTCATTTTCGATAATTCTACCAACTGATTACTCTCTACTCTTATTCAAAGTTTGTCTTTGTAATATATAAGCTTAGCTTAGTAAATATTCAGAAATATATCGAGAATAAAGCTGTAAATAAATATATAAAGTGGATGAAAGCATTTAGATTAGAAATAAAAAAGACAGCCAAACTTTCGTTTTTTTTTTTTTTACTTTATACGTAGAGAAAGAAGAGGTTTGAAGAGAGTTAAACAGAAAAGGAGTAAATAATAAAAAGATAAACGAAAGATGAACATAATAAAAAAACGCTAACTTGCAGAGGAAGAAGAAAAAATGGTAAATGCCTAGGGAGTGAAAAGGAACAAAAAGTGAATAAAAGACTCGGTGACTGAAAAGAAATGGAAAAAAAAAGGCATAACCACCTTTCACAAGAAAGTTCTTTGGAAACGGGTCATTCGAGCTGAATTAAGAAGTCCATAAAACTTCCACCAAAAAAGGACACCACCTTTGAGACTGCAATGACCTCTTCGGTTATAGATTTATGAATGCAAATAATGAAAGAATAAATAAAAGACACAGAGACACACACACGGGATAGATGACTTCAGCAGAATGGTCCCTCGCGCTAATCGAAAATATTTCCATTAATGACATTAACCAGCTCTGGTTTGCAGCAGATGCAAGTGGATGAACACTGAAAGAAAGCTCGGGCCAATCAGTTGTCATTTTTCTCTTAGATGACATGCAATTTATTCTTATCGACCTCAGATTGTGTGTGTGTGTGTGTGTGTGTGTGTGTGTGTGTGTGTGTGTGTGTGTGTGTGTGAGAGAGAGAGAGAGAGAGAGAGAGAGAATCTCTTAAAACACCTTCTTCTTCTTTGATGTTCCGTGTCCCTTCAGGATGTAGGCGATCATGACCCTCCACATGTTCTTGTTCCTTGTAGCACTTAATAAGTTTTGTCTTTTTGTTATTTTCCCCAAACCCTGTTCTACAATCCATTTACTTAAGTTCATCAACCATGTTACTCACTGTTTTCCTCTGTTCCTCTTTCTCTCCGTCCTGTTAGTATCAGATTTTCCAAGCCCTCCTTCCACATTTCAAAGCGTCAAATTTCTATTAGTAAAATACTTCTCCTATGTGACTTATTCCTTCAATACCTGGACGCTCATCACTCTCCATAACTTCATATCATTTGTAGTTATTAGCAACATTTGACATTTTACTACCCCCCAATTACCTGTTTTACCATCTATTTATAGAAGCTCGTAAGTCGTTTACTTAGCTCTTTCGCCTCTATGCCTCTTTCTATCACTATTTTCTGAGAGTATCAATATTTCCACGTCTTTTTTCCGTATTATGTGACATAGGAATTTCAACTTTCTTTCTGACTCGAAATATAAATGTCTTTTTCGTTTCTATTTTATTTTCTGGTTACTAACATGCTCTGGCCATTGAATTCTCAGCATCCCTCTGTAGAGCCATATCACCTCTGCTGCAGCTATGTGACGAAATTTTCGAGAATTTACTGCTAATTAGGAAGATTTATATTGCATAGTAATTAAGCACTCTTTTCGTTGGGTGGTTCGTGCGGGATCAACAAGAAATTTTCCTATCTCTTAATACTCTGCTCAGTTTTCGGGAAGGCATATTCCATTATTCTTATTTGTCTTCGAATCTCTGTGTTAATTTTTTCAGCGTCTGTTACAACACTGCCTAGATAGTTAAATTACTGTATCTGCCTGATTTTATCATCCCTGATATGTAGCTCAGCTTTTGGTCTCTTTTGCTTGCAAAAAAATAGAGATATGAACGCAAATTAAAAAAAAGAGGAAATTGATATAAATAAATAAAATAAATATTTCATGTTTTATAATATTTGGCTTAGTTTTCCGTCGGCGTCATTTTCTCTTCCAATGCGCCATTCAGATTTGCACTATTTATTTTCCGCCCCATGAGAGGAAATATGACACAAAGTTTTGATTTGATGTGGGGAACTTCGCACATAACCAAAATTACCCTATTCTATCGACTTTTGTGGTAAGCATGAAAGTGTACTAGCAGCCCTACCCAATTACCGTAATATGTAGGTACTGGATGTTTTTAGGACAGCCAGTCCGTTTACTTATAGTCGGTCGCCATCTATAAGAACGAGTTAGGAAAATTATTTCGCAGATTGAGTGAATATTTTAATGAGTTTGATCGTCACAAGCCGCCACATAGAGGTGGCTTTCTAACAAGATAAGAGTAAAGGACGAAAGAATACACAAACAAAACAACCAAAGAAAAAGATCTATATTATGGGGACATAATAAACATATTGCATCATTTATTATACAAAAGGATGCAATATATTATTGGGTTCGAACACGTGATTTCGTTTCACGCATCACTGAAATGTATGACATATATATATATATATATTTTGAAACGCGTTTTTTTATACGAAACTACACATATTAGCAAGGATATTTTAGATATCAGTTTAGCAGACTATTATTTTTAGGGGAAGTATGTCTCGACTCCGACTTCCGGGGGTTGACATTCGAGGTAACATGAAAGCCATAATAGGGAAGTCGATTTTGATTGGCTGAGCTAGCATGGGAAAGACAGTTAGGAGAAAAGTTTCGGAGTGTTGGGTCTTACCCCTCAAGTGGTGTAGATGTGTTCTTTTTCGTGTCCGAAACGACTCCCCAGTGAAGAAGAGCGTACCCGATTGGATATTTAGATATTCGATATGGCTAATAAAAGTTAAATTAAGTTAAAATACTCTGTGTTTGAAATCATTCATTGCTAGTCAAAAGAAGTAGCGATCGCCGGCTGAGAAGACGAGATAAAGCTACCCTACACCTGGCGTTTATGCAACAAGACCACCTCTTAAATGATGTTGTTCCCAGGTCCACTGTGGCCCGGATTGGTAGCACCTGTTAGGCCCCCAGCTATGGGCAAACAGTGAACCAACCAAGTTAAATCTAATTACTTTGTAAGTGTGACAAGGCATTCAAAATATACTTAGTTGACGGTATAAAATTGTGTTCAAAATTGTGCTCGGCAATGAATAGCCCACAGAGTTTGATATGCCATTAAATAAAATCATCCAAGTAACCAACGTCAACGAATTATTTCATGACATTAATCATGAATAATATTAATCCATATAATATCCTACACTTTGTTAAAGAAATCAAACACATATTTCACTGTCTCTAGTGCACAAAAGCTGATTATTATTTACCATGTATTCAATTGCGAAAGCAGAATAACATATTTTTATTACTTCAAAACTCCCAAGAAAATTAAAATTCGGTATTAAATGACCGAGTTGATGTGTCGCTAAACAAATAAAAAACAACCAATCAATAAATCAAAAATATATATATATATATATATATATATATATATATATATATATATATATATATATATATATATTTATTCGTGTGTGGAATTATGAATTTAAAATATTTTTACTTTAAAAGTGAAAAATGAATGAAGATGAAATGCGTTCTGTCATTTGATGTAACGTTTAAATAGATGGAGCCATAGCTGAGAATGTAGTTCGTAAATCGTTCGCTAGCCTAAGAAGGGAACATTTTGATTTGGAAGAACGAGAACGTTCTAGAAGACCTGTATTCGTTGATGATAACCCAATCTGATGAAAACATATTCCAGATCACATGACACGGGACGTCGCAGAGATACTCCACATATCTCACATGAACGTAAGTAGAAATTTGAAAACACGTGGATATGTGAAATTTCTACGATATTTATATGTATCACGATTTAACAGGGAAAAATAATTGCTCGCATTTTCCATCTGAAATTCCCTGGTACCCCCCCAATCCCTTTATATGAAGAACGATCACTGCCAATAAAAAATGGTTTGTTTACAATTATATGTAATAATCAGTTTCATACTCAGGGCAAGCGGGTCAGTAAGGTCAAGAAGGAAAATAGCGTGTAACTGGACGAGGGAAAAAGTAAAGGGATAAATATTGTTTAGAGTTAAAATGATAGGTAGCTGTGAAGAGCCATGATCTCCACATACTTAAGAAATATGACGCAGAAGAAGAAGATAAAGAAGAAGGTCAGCCATATTTTCTTTTAGTCTAAATGATTTCTCAATGTATTTCTCTTCTTCACCTAGGAATTCTGGGCTCTGATGTAGAATTCTTGATTGTGGTGGGAATAGATATTAATTAGATCGGTTTTGTTAGTGAGCTTACGATAAACTTTTAAATCCAATTTTTTATTGTTACGTTTTAATGAGATGTCGAGGAAAAGTAGAGATTTATTTCAAATTCATGAGTGAATTCAATGATAGGCTCAACCTTATTATGTTTCATTATTATTTCTAATAGATTTGTATTACGAGGATATAATAAATTGACGTCATCTATGTATCTGATAGCAAATGAAAATACAATTCTGTATTTTTTGACAATGCCGTAACTTATAGTGGTCGATATCTATTATATTTCATCAAATGCATATCGACATTTTGTGTGGTTAAGGCCTTTCACTCTGTATTGAAACTTGTTTGTCATATAGTAATAACCGTTGATCGTGTTTGTAATACTTGTAGCATATTTTTCGTATGTCTAGCATAATAGATAAGAGACTGAATTTAAAAATCGGATAACCAAGATTAAATCCCAGTCGGATGCGTTATATTTATTTACTCGGAAATAACCCTTGAGAAAGGTAGGAATCCATCTCCCCCACCCAAGAGGAATGGCAGGACAAATTGGGCCCGATAGACTTGGTTAGCAACCGGTTTATCTAAGAAACGATAGGATGCTGAGAATTCCGTGGACAGAGTTAGCTAGTAACAAGGAACATCTTAAAAATAGCAACAAAAAAAAAAAAAAAAGAAAAAAAATGGACGTTTATGCCCGGAATCAGGAATAGACACCTTATACAAGCAAGGAGGAAATGGGGCTTGGAAAGCTTAACATTCAGAGTGTATACTGTGAGCAAGTGAGATATGAGAAGACGACGAACCACCTAGATGATCTTGTGTGAATTGATGACAGAACGCGGGGGGGGGATCCTTAGCAAAAAGACAAAAAACAGCGAAGGGTTTCAAGGAATAGGAAGTCTTGAAGAGCCATGATCGCCCCTGGTCTGAAGGGACAAGGCACATAGATAAAAAAGTGTCAGTCATAAATCGAAAGAGAAGTGATTGCCCAAGCGTGTATGATGTATGCCACTTGACTTGGCTAATTTTCCATTTCCTGTAACAACCTTGTATAGAAAAATCATTTTCGCAGGCAAGCAAACAGATGCAAATAGCCTAATGCTGCAGCGTATGATATTCTCCAAAGGACTGAAACCTCTGTTTTCGTTCGAATTTGGTTACGATATATATGTACAGTTTATTCAGA